TATGTTTATCTCGACGATATTCTGGTAGCTAGTACTACCAAAGACGAACACGAGACACATCTCCGTCTTCTCTTCGACCGCCTGCAAGAGTATGGAATCATTCTCAACCACGCCAAGTGTCAGTTCGGAGTACCTTTACTGTCCTTTCTAGGGCATAAAGTTGACTCAGAAGGAATTCAGCCTCTTAGTGACAAGGTGAAGATCTTCCGTGATTTTCCGATACCTACATCACTTACCAAACTACGAGAGTTCCTCGGGCTGATCAATTTCTACAGACGGTTCATTCCGCGGTGTGCAGAAGTACTCCAACCTCTCACAGATCTGTTGAAAAATAGATCAAAGAAGAACCAACCAATCACCCTAGGTGAACAAGAACTTTCTGCTTTCAATCAGGCTAAAGATCAGTTAGCTAACGCTGCAGTTTTGGTTCATCCTAGAATTGATGTTCCTCTATGCCTGTTGGTTGATGCATCTGATGTGGGAGTTGGAGGAACTATCCAACAGCTGGTAGATGGTGTTTGGCAACCATTGGCTTTCTTTTCTAAGAGACTACAGCCTGCTGAGACTAAGTACAGCACTTTCGGTCGGGAACTGTTAGCAGCCTACCTCGGTGTAAAGCACTTTCGAAATCTACTTGAAGGTCGCATATTGACCATCTACACGGATCACAAACCTCTCACCCATGCTTTGAATTCAAAGCCTGGCCGACACTCACCTCGTGAAATCCGCCAGCTTGATTTCATATCCCAATACACATCTGAGATACACCACATAGCAGGAAGGGAGAACACAGCAGCAGACGCTCTCTCCCGTCTGTGTATCGACAGAGTTGATTCATCCTCCGTCATAGATTTTGCAGCCATTGCGAAAGATCAAGAGGATGATAGTGAGGTACAAGACTCCTCGCTTCGACTCAAGTCGATATCGCTTCCTGGTTCTCTTACTACCATGCTATGTGATGTTTCGACAGGTGTTGCTAGACCCCTTGTTCCAGTCAAACACAGACGAGCTATTTTTGACGCCCTCCACGGACTTTCCCATCCTGGGATCAGGGCCACTCAAAAGCTCATTACGGAACGTTTCGTTTGGCCTGGTATTAATCATGATATCAGGAAATGGGCCAGAACATGTCTTGAATGCCAGAGATGCAAGGTGCATAAACACACAAAAGTTCCACTTGGCACTTTTACCTCACCTGGTGCACGTTTCTCTCATGTGCACATCGATCTTGTAGGCCCGCTTCCTACTTCAGAGGGTAACACGTACCTTCTTACTTGTGTGGATCGTTACACCAGTTGGCCAGAAGCTATACCTATCCCAGATATCACTGCGGATTCTGTAGCACGTACTTTTGTGGCCAGATGGGTAGCGGTGTTTGGTGCTCCAAGTACTCTTACAACAGACAGGGGTAGACAATTTGAGTCAGCACTCTTTCTTGCTATCTCTAATCTTCTTGGCACTAAACGCATTCGCACAACAGCATACCATCCGGCAGCCAATGGGCTTGTTGAGCGTTTTCACAGGCAACTCAAAGCCTCTCTCAAGGCGCATAACACAGTCCGTTGGACTGAGGTCCTTCCCTTGGTATTGCTGGGTATACGTACAGCTATCAAGTCTGATTTGGGATGTTCCGCAGCAGAACTCGTTATTGGTACTACGATCATGCTACCGGCTCAATTTGTGGATCCTTCACAGACCGACTCTGCTGGCGATCCAGCTAATTATGCCCACAGACTGAAGAGACTGATGCGTGAATTCCACCCACCCCTACTCGCAAGCAACGAGCTACCCCTACACAGGTACACCCAGAGTTGCATTCCTCATCACACGTCTTTTTGAGGGTTGATGCAGTCGAGGGGCCCTTTCAACCTCCTTACAGGGGGCCTTTTCGAGTCATTCAACGCTCTGACAAGTTTTTTACTATTGATTACAATGGTAAACGTGAAACTGTCAGTGTTGAGAGACTTAAAGCAGCTTTCATTGAGCAAGACCTCTCTGCTCAATCTAGGAAGGATCAAGATCCACCTATCCAAGTCCCTCGGCAATCCAACTCCGCAGACTTAGCATTGGATCTTGCAACCTTGGCATTGGATCCTGCTCCGTTAGCATTGGATCCTGCTCCGTTAGCATTGGATCCTGCTCCGTTAGCATTGGATCCTGTTCCGTTAGCATTGGATCCTGCACCGTTAGCATTGGATCCTGCACCGAAGCAAGAACACTCCCGAGATTCGAAAGACCAGGTCTGGTCGTCAAGTTAGATGGCCAGCGAGGTTTGTGGACTTTTTCGAAGTCGGGTGAAGCATATTAAACTTACTGTGTTTCAACAGTATTGCCTTATTTTCGTATTTTCCAGTCAACATACATGTAGGTCTATATTTCCTCATCGATTTGGTGCTACTTTTCATTCGACAACAAATCTAGAGGGGAGCTACTGTAGTGACTTGACCTTTGGAGAACTTTGCATTTGTATATATTATTGTCTTGTCTATATTGTATGGCTTGAAATCTAGCCTTTTATTCCATTGTCACTCATTTCTTTAGTGACACCTGTTACATTACTAGAGTGCCACACATACTTATTCTGGCAAGCACATTCCACACCCTATGGGTTGGGTTGTGCAACCACCTAATGTACTGGTATAGCTTATACTGTACAGGCACATTACACTTGCTTGCTTTATTTGCCACACCTATTTTCATCACTTCTCCTGAGCTGTTCATATAGAGCACACGTATTCTAGAGAGTTTTGAATCGATTTACAGCAAAGCTAATTCAGCCTCATCTTAATTCTTGTCCTATTTCTTCGCTTGTTTCTCTACTCGGTTCTGAGGCCTTATTACATTATAGTGATTATAAGTTTCTTCTTCTTTACTTAATTCGCGAAGAAGCGTCATTACTTTGTACATGGTCTTACATATTCTTTCTACGGGTGCTGTGCAATATTTGAACTACTTGTGATATAATATATGTTCCAAGTATCTGTACTCAACAGGTGTTTCGAGACAAGGTAGGAAAGAAATATATTTCTATTTCTTTTATTAAGGTGATTAAATTCCCTAAAGCCCTAACACATATCCTTGTGGAACACCGATATTTGCATTCCTGGTAAAAGCCCGGACACACATAGGGACGCATGGGGGACGCACGGCCGGCGCATTGAAAATCGAAAAAAAGTCGTGAGCCCGACTTTTGTCAGGATTTGGGAGAAGCTAGCGAGCTGAAACCGAAAGCTTAACGTGTTGCTAGCGCGCTACGTGTATACAGGGCATGTGCCCCGCGTATGTCTGGCGTCCTTTTGGCGTGTACATTCATGCGTCGAGCTCCGCGCAAACTTTTGAGCATGCTCAAAAAATCCCGACGAACACAGCGAATGACACCGAATGCATAACGTGTTGCTAGCGCGCTACGTGTAAACAGGGCGTGTGCTCCGCGTATGTCTGGCGTTGGTCTAGCGCGCTCCGCGCATGTCTGGCGTCCTTTTGGCGTGTACATGCGTCGAGCTCCGCGCACACTTTTGAGCATGCTCAAAAAATCCCGACGCACACAGAGAATGACAACGAATGCATAGCGTTGGTCCAGCGTTGGTCCAGAGCACACGACGAATGAGTAACGAAGTATGACGCACACCTAACGCACGATAATGCACTGGCAGATATTGCAAATTTTCAATGCGCTGGCCGTGCTTCCCTCGTGCGTCCCCTGTGTGTGACCGGGCCTTAACGGAGGATTTGTTGAAACATATTGCACTCTGTCATTTAAATAACTCTCAAGCAAGTCTTTTTATATAGAAACCTACAACACCACCACGTTTACATTGCCTTCATTTACCAAGAAAGGCGTACCAGTCCAAATTCAGAGATTCTTTACCACTATATTTCTGATAATGCAATAATAGAAAAAGAATGGGAAACAGTTGAGAGAGTACATATAAAATTGTCGAAGTTTCTCTTAATACTTGTGCAGTTGATTAATGAAGTATAGACAGAGAATTGATAAAGTTGCGAATGTTATTAACAACAACATTGTCATATTCATGGGGAAGTACGTAACGCGTATCATTAACGAAATCATTCTGTATTGCCGAAAAGTTATCGTACACTGCAAGGGTGTCGATTTGTATCCTCGGTTGGGGGGGGGGGGGGGGTGATAGGTGCCAAAATATTTTCGGCAATGGATCAAAGCAACCAAGAGGTAGAGGCGTGTGGCAGGTTGCACCCCCTCCCTTCCAAGTTTTTAACTTTTTTAAATCACCCTCAATAAAGATAACATTTTAGATAATATGGGACCCATGTGTGTCCCACATGCTTGCTACCTGGGTTATTATCCTCTCAAGCATATAGGCAGGATATTATTTTAGGGGGCGGTAGTGAGCACCTCCTAGGGGGTGGGTGCAGGGAGGGGGAATTTCCCCCCCCCCCCCCCCTCCCGCGCGAAGCGCGAAAGCTCTGACGTTTCATTAAATTATTAAAGAAAGAAGACGATTCGTTGTACCATTCTCGACTCTTAATCCTTAATTGAACTGATTTGAAGCCAGCCTGTTTTCGGGATTTGAGAATAAGAAAGGAAGGAGCTGATGTATATCGAAGTAAAGTTCAAGTATTTTTGTTTCAACTATATTATTTCTTCAATTCATTTGTTTTCCCTTGCATGCACGTAACTTCCATGTTTCTTCGCTTTGTCGGTATATTGGGCCTTCGGCCTTGTGTAGGTAAACTACACCCTACTCCCTCCTCTTCTGCTTGGATCGGCCTCTTTCATGATAAATAGTGCAGTGTTTGTTGCATCTTTACGACTCCGATACCCTCAAATTTAGAATTTAGTCGATAATCTCTTTGGCCATGTCATTGATTGGTTTTTTTTTCTCCACATTGCTATTTTTTTTTTAAATTGCAGTCAAACTTGGAATGTTATTTGAAATAACACGAATTCAACTGCTTTCGAAAAATCAACTAAGGGCAATTTTAATAGCCCTCTCCGTGACCTATTGAAATGTGTGAACATGACACTACCCTACTATTGTAATTGCCCTAGATTTGATTTTCGTTATATCGTATTGAATACAAACACTGTGATTGATATGCATATCAGGAATTTAAAAAAAAAACAAGGACAGAGGTACCTGGTTCAATAGGCGTATGTTTCGGGCCTTTCCAGAAAACCGGCCATAAAACAAATTAGCTGTTGGCGGTAGCCCATGGATTAACTAACTAAATGATTTTAGTAAATGCGTTAATCACTTTACCTGGTCAGTTTTAAATGGGTAGTCGTGAAAAATAGATTCTAGAAACAATTGTTCGGTCTTCATATTGATTGTTAATTATTATGGAATGTCACACCGATTTCTTATATACATTATTTTCAAAAAATGTAGGTCTTATCAAAATACTTACACATTATTTCCCTTTATGTTTACGAATCTTATATTCTATTTTAGTGCTACATACTTAACGTATGGATCATTAGCTTGGGGAAATTGTTTTTAAACGAAAATTGAATCCATTTTGAAGATACTAAAATATCCATGAGCACAATAAACTTTTGAACATGTTCATGCACATACAAACTCTATATACCATACAAATTTTTGAAAATAACAGACTTCTTTTTAAATTAGAATATTCATATATCAGCTATAAAAGGCGATCGGCAATTTCTTTTTTAATTCCTATATTTGTAATAAGTAGGGAAATTCATTCTAATTCTTCTAGGCAAAAATCTATTTTCGTCTCTTCCTTACTATAACCTATACAGGTCCCTCATTTTGAAATAGCTTGATCATTAAAACAATAACACAGCCTACGTCTATGAAACATGAGAGGGGCACGTTAACACACAAGACAGGCTTCAGTAAACCGCCTTGGTTAGATTCGAACCCACCTTGGTTTGACAGGCAACTCTAACCCAACTCGCCTCCTAGATTTTATCCAGGCATGTGTGCAAAACATAGTTTATCAACCAGCTATGACAGACGAACCTCTCATTCGTTTTTTTTCTATGATATTTCCCTGCTCTGTATTTCATGTTGCAGGGGCACCTTATAGTGTACGACTTGTGAATGGTCCATCGCCCCGTGAAGGAAGAGTAGAGATTTGGTACAATGACCAATGGAACACTATCTGTGATGATAACTGGAACTATGATGAAGCAGAGATTGTTTGTCGTCAGCTTGGCTATGGCACTGATAATGTAACACCAAGGAGTTTAGCCTACTATGGTGAAGGATCCGGACCGATTCAACGAGTCGAGTGCTGGGGTTGGGAGGATAGCTGGGAATCCTGTACTTTGTCTTCAGGGAATTCCTCGTGTGGCCATTATGAGGATGCAGGAGTAAGATGCGGTGAGCTGAATTATACTTACTGTTCGCAGGCCGTACTTAACCCTAAAAAGGCCGGGCTATTTGAGGTCTTAGTACGGCCGGGGGGCATTTTGACCCCCCCCCCCCCCCTTAAGATCTCGGCCGCGAAGCGGTCGATCGCCTCGAAAATTTGCACGCATGTCAAGTAAAGTATAAAGAATAATATGATAATTTCAATTTTTTGAAAAATTTACTCATTTGCATATTTATGGTAATTTATGCAAATAAAGTCATAAAAATCACATATTTACCCATAAATCACATTATTCATATTTAAGCATTCTTTTTCACTACATATATTCATTAGACCATTCTGAATAATAATACAACTAAAAAATTTGGAAGAGCCAGCTTATTCCTTATGTTGTTCCTTGTTTTGATAATTTCTTTCGTATTTCATTGATTTTTATAACTTATGTATTCCATTGTTTTTGTTGTTTTATTTCATTTCTTACTACAATTCAACTATTTTGACTCCCAAAACAACCACCTAAACTTTAAACAAGACCCAATAACCCATGTTTGATCTGTTTTAGGAAAAATGACTTTTCCATATGTTTTGTACACAAATCACGAAAATGAGCGATTTTCGGGCTGACATGCAAAGACAAATGGTCACGTGACCTTGTAACCGTGGGTCCGATTTTCAAAAAACAATATTTCAAAAGTTGCGCAAGACTTTATTATTATCGAATAAGGCCTTATTAGGGTGAAACAACGATATTTCACCAGTATTCGCATTGTTTCATTAATATATGCATCCATCTAATAATTGTTTCGTTCTTTCTTTTTAGCGGTTAAAAAATAGAAATTTTATGAATTAGAAATACAATTAAATTAAACCTCTTCAAGCATAAAAAGCATATAGTTTTTAACCAGCTTTAAAACACGTAAACCTGATGGAGCTATTTTTCTCTGACATTTCCCTCTTTTCCACTTAATGTTGAAGGGATTGACATTTCCACAACGACCGTAGATCCATTCCAATGGCTAACGACAACCACAAGCTACTACGATGGGATCTATGATGTACGTCTCGTGAACGGTCCATCGCCCAGTGAAGGAAGAGTAGAGATTTTATACAATGGCCAATGGAACACTATCTGTGATGATTACTGGAATCCTGAAACAGCGGCGGTTGTATGTCGTCAGCTTGGCTATAGCACCGATAATGTCGTGGCAAGGAGTTCAGCCTTCTATGGTCAAGGATCAGGATCGATTCAACAAGTCCAGTGCTCTGGTTGGGAGTATACCTTGGCGTCCTGTACTCTGTCTTCAGGGGATTCTATATGTGGCCATTTTGAGGATGCAGGAGTAAGATGCGGTAAGCTTATACAGACATTTCTTTTTTTTTCTGCCTTGTATTATGTAACTGAGCGGATACATGAGCCAGGGGTGTAAAACGAATTGAGTATTCGCATATAATATGAAAGAGAGATATGTTGATCGAATACCCCCCCCCCCCCTCCCGATATCATCCTCGTTATCTCTATATGTGCACAATGAAGGAAATTAATCTTCTTAAGAGTGACGGCACGGGGGTCCGGCCATTGACACCAGTTGCACTGGTGTTATGGGATCATGAGGTTGGTATATAGACACCGGTCCAACTTGGTAAATGAAAGTCAAACAAGAACAAGACCATCAAGTATTGTGAGAATGTGACAGGGGTGTTATATATCATTTTATGTTGCCTTTATTTCTTTTCTGGCTGCCTTTTTCCCATTTGATCGGGGGCACCTAGGTGCGCCATTTGGGTCTTCACACGAACCGCATCTTCTGATGAAGGTTTTGTTCCTTTTTATTAGACTACAAAACCAGTTAGTCATCTTGACTTATTATCAATCATCCTTTCAATATTCGTTTACTCGGGTAACTGTCTTTTGGGGTTGATCTTGATAATGAAATTCTATATTGTCCTTTGTACGACATCCTACAATTTTTTAGAATAAACAAAACCTCGTGGTCTGTTCTCCATTCACAAATTTATTCACAGAGCTAATGTGGCGTAAGGGTTGTGTATTGTATTATCCCATAATTATAATGCTTATTCAAGTCATAGTGGAGGTGTGTAGGGGTATAGGAGTTAATTCACTTAACTCTCAATCCAAGAATAGTGATGCTTCAAATTCCAGCCCGTCACTTAGGTTCTCAGGCAAGACACTAATCCACTTATGCCACTATCCACCCTGTTGTAGATGGGTACCCAGCAACTACTGGGGTAGTAATAATTGCACAGCCTGCAGGAAAAGCAGTTTTAATACCAATGTGGCTCCCTTTTCTCATTTATTATTTTAAATATTATGATAGGTTACACAACAATATCAGGAACATCAGGAGCATCTCCTCGGGTAATCGGATCGATGTCATTCGTCGGAGTGTCCTTGTTTCTCCTAACCATCATCGCTATAGTTGCTGTTGTGTTCGTGTGCAATCAACAGAAGGCTTCTCCTTCGGCAGCTATGGGAGTTCAGTTATCTTCTCTTACCACTCAACCTGCACCTCAACCAGCATCAACCACGCCCATGCCTGCACCCGTCTGTGTCGATGTACCTGTTTAGAGGGTGGACGGAAACCCAAGTCAGTTTGTTAGAATCCACCTGTCATTCTTTAGGTGTGCCTCACTCGGATCGACCTCACATTCTACTTTCTTTTTTTCTTAATCCATGCTATCCATTTCCTATATCTTCATCTGCATCCACCTCTTCTTCCTTTTCTTCGTGTTATTATTAGTAGTAGTAGTAGTAATAGTAGTAGTAGTAGTAGTAGTAGTAGTAGCAGCAGTATTAGTAGTAATAGTAGTAGTAGTAGTAGTAGTAGTAGTAGTAGTAGTAGTAGTCATTTGGCATCACTTGTGGCTTGGAGGGTGAATCAATGCGACCGTAGGGTCTTTCCTCAAGGTATAACTGATAATGGGGATATGTGGAAATGGACAACAACTTCATTAATAATAATAATAATAATAATAAGATATTTGAATACCGCAAATTGCAAATTGCCTCTAAGCGGTTTAGAAGAAAAGAGCTGATAATTAAAGGAAACAGAAATTGCATTACAAATTATATCAATTTAGATTACCATTAAAACTTTGCAAATGAAAATAATACATGTACATAATTACAAATCACTTACAACCAAAATACAAACAGTTCATAAATTAATAGTATCCTACGGTAATCTACCCAAAATATTTAAAAAGGCAAAAGGTCAAAAGAGCTATTCAGGAACAAGACTTAAAGAAATGTGTTTTTCGCATTGTTTTAAATGTATTTTCATTGTACTCTTTTTTTTTTACTTTTCTCTCTCTCTCTCTCTCTCTCTCTTCTAAGTATCACCCACTTCTCATCTTCACCCTCAATTCCTTCCATGTTCTCTCTCTTCTTTCCGTTTCCCTTTGTTCTCCTTTCTCTTCTCTCTTAGTATCTACTTTGCTCACCTCTGACGCATTCATTATTTCATTTTTTTTAAATAAGAGATAGAGCGTAAAACACTCTGTGAGATTGAATATTGAGCAATAAATTATCTAGCAATAAAACAACAGATACAACAAAGATGTTGTTTGTTATAATATTCTGATTTATTTTGGTTTCACTAAATATGATTTATAAGTATTCAATATTTGACATAAAACAATGAAAGAAATTAGTACAAAAAGTGTATATTAAAAAAGACAAAATACATGTAAAAATATTGAAACCTAAAACTGAAAATGTTGGCCTACATATATGTATACGTTGAAACGGTACTCAGATTTCAGTTGTATATACTTATACATTGTACTATCTCACAAAATAATCCAGTATATTATTTTAAATGGTCACTGCTATTTGTCAATGGTTTCATTAGAATCGTGGTAGATTTGTTGAGTGTACGTGTGTACATTATGACTACTGAAATAATAATTGGCATGCATTTAAAAAAAAATATTTTAAAAAAAGTTCCATCTTCAGTTGAATACGCATGTAGCATGTAGAATTAAAAAATCAACAAATGGTAAATGATTAAATAAACTGTTATTTAGAGTATATATATTGTAAGTAAATCTGCTTAGCCTCTCATTTCTCATTTATACCTTACTGTTATCGCAGAATACCATTCATAAAAAGATGTTCTATATTTCAGAAATATTGATACATCTCGTGCAAATATTATTTATTCAAATCATGCGTAGCTATATACCCATTATACAATATATCTTGTCTTTTTCACCCAGCGTTCAAACAGACTTAAATCATGGATTAATAATTGTGCCTTATCGCTCAATTGGTTATTCAAATCACATGCGTGACTTTACACAGAGTACATAAATATATATATATATTTATATATATATATATATATATATATATTTATATTTATATTTATCATTCAATCAAACCCTTGTTCTGATTTGTTTAAAATGATATGAGTTTTATTTGTATTTATTTTTTTAAAAGGCGTGTGTTCTTATTTATTTGAAATTTGATGTGTTCAATGAAATGATCGAATGTAATCCACTATGGACTTTGATTGTCATTTATTTAATTCCGATTATATCTGATATCCAAAAGCCACGTACGTGTACGTGTGAGTCCTGGCATAAAAACGTGATCCGATGTAGATATATTACGTATTCATAAATTTGGTTCAGCTTTCGTAATTTGCTGGTGAAACAAAAGCTGTGTAGGCCTACTCATCTACGAATACATTTTAATTAACTTAAGGTAGTGAAATTAATAACAAATCTTTTTCTTTTTTGAGGTTGTTCATCTTTTAATCTTTGCTGCATTGGCCTTATTATGTATGTCATGATATTTGAATTAATTGTATGAATAAGAACGTTCTAAAGACTAGATTATATTTCACGCTATTTTAATTAATTGTATGACTAAGAACTTTCTGAAGACCAGATTATATGTAATGATATTTTAATTCATTGTATTGCTAAGAACTAAGACTAGATTATATGTCATGATATTTTAATTAATTGTAGGACTACGAACTTTCTGAAGACTAGATTATATGTCATGATATTTTAATCAAGTGTATGACTAAGAACTTTCTGAAGATTAGATTATATTTCATGATATTTCAATCAATCGTAAGACTAAAAACTTTCTGAAGAGACTTTGAACCACTTTTTTTTATCTTTGTTTAGTTTCACTATAATCATAAATCATATTATGTATATAAAGCAAACATGTTATATGTATATTCTTAAAATGGTGGTAGTTTCCAAAGCTTTGTAGGGCATAATAACTTTTGTTTGCAAACTTACTTTATGATAAATATGATATTTTCGCATCACGTTTTAAAACTCTGCACACTATAATGTACCTCGGAATCTTTGCTGTTCTATTAACATGATTAAAGAGACGTTCGGAAAGGAAGGTACCGATAAGAAACAGACCTAGTGAGTGTTCGATTGTATACTGCAACATGCAATTGTTTCTAGCCATATTTTTTCAAAACTGTAACGCTTTAAAGGTAGCTTCTACATGCTTTTCATGTTTTAGTTTTGAATTCATATCTTTTCAAAGACTTTATTATAATTGTATTGCTCACGAGCAATTTTAGGTATGTAGGATACCATTTGATATTTCTCATCTACGTCCCTAAGATTATAATATTTGATTATGTTCATTACAGTGGCGGCCTCAGTATTTCGTTGGCGAGGGGTATAAAACATAACCAAAACAGAAAAAGAAAAAGGCATCATTTTCAGGGGGCTATAGGGTGAGGAACTGTTGCCGGATGCCCGATAAGGGGCACATTTCATTTCATTTTATTTTTATTTAATGTCTGGGGAGTCTTATGCCCGATGACCCCCCCCCCCCCCCCTTCCTCCTCCTGAAGATCCGCCACTGCACTCTTTGTAGAAAAGGAAAATAAAATATAAACAAGAATGTGTTCTCTTTACTTTGTAAACTTTAGTGAAACCTGTGTATAAAGACCACTGAAGTGGGACACGCATGTTGTTGGTCTTCCTGTTCAGGTTACTTTAATGAAGTTACATTCACTACCGCTCAAAGAACACAAAAGGGTGGTCTTCGATACACGTGTGTTCGCTAAAGCCGTTTTGAGATTAAAATCTTCATAAATGTAAATGAGTTAACACTTCTTTTACGCAATTACGCAGAAAGATAATACAAAATTTACATTTTCAGTATAAAGATGACAATGCGTTGTCCTTACTTACTTTGTTAAAGTTTAGAAACTATTACTAAAATTACGCAGAAAAATGTGAAGGGGGAAACCAAGGTATTTTATCAATATTGTAACTTAAGGCGCAGTTGTCTTTATTTTCACATTCGCGAGCCCCATATCTCGAACGTCATTCTGCTTTTGATGTGCGTGTGTGTGTGAAAGTGTATGTGTGTGTGTGCAACATTAAAAAAGGCCAGTACAATTTTTATTAACGCCACATTATGGCATTTCAGCAAAGGCTTCAAATATAAGCTGTCGATATGTATGCCTTGCTGAAATAACATAATATTCTGTGGAAGAACAAATTCACGTTTGAAATACATCAATGATTTTGTTTCTGTGTGTGGAAAAACTCGTGTCTTCATATGCTTTCAGCAACAGACTATTAAATTTCCGACGTATTGTTTATTACGATCGACATATTTTAATCATCAAAATAGATATTCGATACATAAAATACTCTCTGGCTTTCAAAGTGCAAATCTATGCCCACCTAGTATATTAGGATTTGCCAGGTTTTAAATGCTCTTGGTAGTTGTTTTTTCATGGGGGATTCGAAGCCATTTATTTATTTATTCAGTTATCAAAAGCAGGGTAGCTCATTAACTATTCCAGTCTATCATGAAGCCATGTACAGAAAAAGAGAGCAATAAATAAAAATTTATAAACTAACAAAGTATTTAAGTATATACAATAAAAACATGGCAACATTTTGAGATCACGAAAGCAAATTCTATTGATCAGTGAGCGAGCAAATATAAAAGTCAACTGTGGAAGTACTAGGAAGGTATTCGGGTTCATCTTAGACTTTTGAAGTAGTAGGAGAAGTACATGAATCAAGATTCTCATAAATGGCTTTGCTACCACAGAAGTTGTGAAAGAAAGCTACAGAGCTTTTAAAGGATCTTCCTCTCTTTAACATTAAACAATAGTAGAATTGGAAACACAGTAAACGCTGAAAAATACGTTCGGTTTTAAGCTTGAAATATTTCATCAGATAAGATCAACTAGAGTGATATGATATCTTTAGAAACGAACATGAGCCGGTTTGTAATATAAGACCTGTTTAAAGAAGTACAGGCGTCTTAAAAGTGATCACTATAGGTGAACAGGCAAAACCTTTTTGCAAAGTAAGGATTTGGGAACAGGCAGTCACATGTTGCAATAACTGTCTATTTTCTTATTACGGTTTTGTACTGGCAGCTTATTGTAAATTTAAACAACTTAATCATTTCTAGAAAACATGTATGATGGCCGCCTAGTTGAAGGAGGCCATCCTAACGGTGGCTGTGTAGAAATATACTACTACTACCAATGGAATACAATGGGGTGTTTCACAAAACTTGTCATCAGTGACAAATGACAGTTGTTGTTTTAAGCTACTGAAATCCTTGCTTCTGATTGGTTATCAGCAGATTTGTCTCTGATATTTGTCATTTGTCTTTGGAAAAAGACTTTGTGAAACGGGTCCCATATGGGATGATCCCTTTGGTCATGATGATGCGCAGGTTGTGTGTCGTCAGCTTGGTTACGGCATGGAGGCTAGTATACTCCATGATGAGAGCTGGGAAGGGGTGGTGCATCCGGGTTACATAAAAATCTTCCCCGTCTGATCGGGCTTTCCTGACGCTAGCAAGGGGTGATCGTGGCAATGCAGAGGGGACATTCGTTTACGAGAAGGGGTTTCTAGCCGTGGTTTAACCCTTCTCTGGCTACATGATTGGATTTCACATATTTTGATTTTAAGGTTAACGTATGGGGTGCAGATTACATTTATCACATGATTCCTAAATTTTTCAGCTTAGATTCCAGCATTAGTTCTGTAATTGGGTAGGATACTCAAATCTGTGTGTAATGCCATTGTAATATTGGCGTGAATCCATGTACCGCCACGGTAAAATGATATATGTAGAAATGACGTAATCCCATGTTAAATGAAAGCCACGAAAAATGAATAAATTGAACGGTTTGTCGTTCCCTCTTTTATCAGCCGTGAATAATGAACATATGAAATCCCTTATATCTAGTCAACAGTTTTCACGTTCAGTTCAATCCCATATGCCTCTCGTAAGTAAATCTACTCGAATAACAAGGACAACAGTCTCGCTCATGGATAATATATTTACAAAATATGTATGTTCAAGCTATTTCTATTATCATAATCTCAATTATAATTTACCATTTCCCAATTTATTCTTACTTACCTATCTTGTAATTACCTTAAACACGGAAAGGTTCTAATCCGGTGTCGTAAGTTAACTTGTAAACATATTGATAAATTTAAAGAAACCTAAAGTTTGTTTGAGACCGCGATCTCCATGGATAACAAAATCCCTTAACGTTCAATTAATAGGAAAAATCGCTTATTTTACAAATTCAACTCCTAGCCAAAAGAGTCAAACGAAAACCAATTTAAGACTTATAACAAATACACAAGTTAGTATTTTACGTTATGCAAAAAAAAATCTTTAAACAATTTTAATTTCATCGAAATGACATTAAAAACACTTGAAAGCTAATTAACCATGCACTTAATATAAACAAAAATAAGCAGGATATTCATGAGATTTTATTCGGAAGCACATGCTTTCAAGAAACAGCTTCTTTTTTTTGCTTAGAGTCTCAATGATTAGTTCGAAAATATAGGGCTAAATCTTGCACAAGCCATCCTCACTTCAAATCATTCATTTCATTCATTTCTTGATCGTCGAAATCCTGAATCATTTTTGGGGTCTCGGTACAAGAGGTAGAGGTTATTGATATTGTTAACAATTTAAAGAGTAAAAAGAGCGCTCGATATGATGGTATTACAAATAATAATAACAATAATAGAGTATATTTATATAGCGCATAATAAATTGTAAATTTCTCTATGCGCTTTACAGTTTTGTACAATCATAACAATTTGAATATATAAACAACACTAATACAACAATAATTAACAAAATAGATAGCAAATGACAAATTCACTACTTAAACATATTATTTCCGAAATAGTTATCCCACTAACCCGTATATGTAACCTCTTTTTTTACATGTGGTGACGTACCCTTTTTCATTAAAAGAGCAAAAGTAATACCTGTATTTTTAAAAAATTGGCTGACATGAACAGGGAAATTGTAAGCCAAACTCTTTACTTACCTCTTTTTCCAAAATATTAGAAAAACTTATGTATACACAAACCATGAGTTTCCTTCCAAAAACAATTTACTTAATGCTGTTCAGTTTATTTTTGGACAGAAATACGCCACAAGACATGCTATATTAACACTCATTAATAAAATTGTTAGTGCAACTGATAATTTTTGTCACACAAATTCTAGACTTCTCAAAGGCCTTCGACACAATTTACCATGAACGCTAACTTTTCAAAATTAACAGTAAAATCGCCCCACATCTCTGATCCGTCTTAAAATATTGGTCTTACAAATGAGTCAAATAATCGTTTCGCCATTCTAATATTAGGGAGGCTATACCCACATGATTTAAACAATCTAAACAAAACTCTTTGTCTTTTTATCAACTAAATTCGTCATTGAGTAACTGTTCTCATTTTTTTAACTAATAGGTCAAATACTACTTGAGGTAAACAAATCACCATCGATTTTTTTTTTCTTTTTCAGTCCATTATCTATTTTTTTGTGATAAGGAGAACATCTTTTACAGCATGTTCCTGTAGTAGACATGGTGGTCATGTTTAACGGGTTTTCAAAGTAGAGTTTAAGGTAGTTTTCGTCTTTGATCCACCAGCTTATAATCCTACAGCATGCTCGTGTATTATACATTACTAGCAGGACCCGCGGAAACCTGCGGGATTCTGGAGGGGGCGGGGGTGTCAATAGATGTATAGAGACACTCTAAATTAAAACCACCAAGAACTTTATTTGCCTTTTTTTTTTTTACCGATCCAATTCTACCGGTAGTTATTCTATGAGCCTCTTTCACACTGGAACTGCGTAGAGTTGCGTAGTGTGCCGTACCCACTACGCAGAAATTAGGCTGCGTATTAATGGAAAAATGTTGCTTCACTGTAGTCCCTGCGTAGGTTATGCATAGGCTGGCGAACAGGTTTGATTATGATTGCTTACGGTTGCTTACTGTGTGGAAAGCTTTTACTGCTTTGTCGATCTGGCGTAGGGTAGCGTACTGTTGCGTAGGCATGGCGTACAGTAGCGTAGTGTTGCGTGAAAAGGCGTACTTTCTGCGTCAAGTTTCTACGCCGAAAGTACGCGGGAAAAATTTAACATGTTGAATTGTTTGCGTCCATCAGCATAATTATACTAACGTAGGCCAGCGTAGTTGGTACCCAACACTACGCAACTCTACATTTGGACCCCACGCCAATCAGTGACCTGCCAGTGTCACAAATAAAGTATTCAAAATATGCTCATCTGACCCTAATTAAATGCCTAAAACCCGTGAGCTTTCGGGGCTTTATGGCCCTTTGAAACCCGTAGACCCCATGCCTATATACACTCAACTCGCTGCGATCTAACTGATCCCCCCCCCCCCCACACTTTGAAAACGTTTCTTGGAGCCTGCATGTAACATGTAAGAATGGTGCATGGTGATGCAGCTTTTTGTTCTGCAAAACAAAAAACGATTTAACTCACTACGCAACTGACTGTTTTGCAATGCATGAAGACACTTACTTCTGTCTGGTTGATATTGAATTATTAATATGTAAGTGTACAATTCATAACCTTATTTTATGCTTTCTTGTAATTTACTGTAGATATAAGACAATATTAGTCTCTGATGGCTAAGTAGACGTAGAGTCGTATAGTTTCATAGCTGTATTGGTGTACAAAATTATGGCACTTCGGCCCGCACGCTGTTGTGTTGACGGGTTCTTCGATGGATGGATAGACGTATGTGTAGTTGTATAGTTGTACGAATATTGTGTTGACTGAAGGCAGCTTGCAACTGAACTGTCAGACCAATCATTTTCTTGTGAAAACTTTCCTTTAGAAAATGATAATCAAAATTCATTAAACATGGCCGTAATAATCACAAAATAAGCTTTGATTTCATACCTCCATTCACGAAAAATTTATAAAAATCGCGGCAATCATGATGGAAATAGGTCTCTAAGTTTGGACGTCGACGAGAACAGGGAAGCCCCGTGTATCTCTCTGGCTTGTACAGCTACTACAAAGCACATCCTATAGAAAGATGCTTTACACTGCGTAATCCCGACCCTTTGCATCGTGCATTTGATACGCAACATATTATGAATTGATGGTCATCGGTTGTGTGTCTCTTTGATACGGATGTAATGTTGAATATGCATGAGGTATCTCTGTCGTCACGCATATCATGCATTATGCATATCGTGTCTGTTTTCGCCCTGGACGTCGACACGGAAGAGGACCTCGGGCGGGGTATAGCCAACTCCACAGAGTAGACCCTCCCGCGGACGATGGCACCGGGCACCGGTACCCTGAGGGGAGGGTTCAGGAGGAGATAGCTGCACCAACTTCGGTCGGCGATCTCATAAAAAAAAACAATATAATACAAAGGCTCGCGGAGACTTCAAGCCCCCCGCGGACTCTTAGCGTAGACGTCATGCCCCCCCCCCCCCCCCGCGGAGTCTAAGCGTATTACTTACTGTGATGATGGTCATGTTTAGCGGGTCTTTAAAGTAGAGTTTAACCCTAATAAGGCCGGGGGGGCATTATGCCCCCCCCCCCCTCCGCTGTTTTTCTGATTGTTCGGGAAAGCATACGGATGGCGCCCCGCCGCTCCATGAATTTTTTCTTTCGAGTCTTGCGCATCTTTTAAAACAATAATTTGAAAACCGGGGTACAGTTACAAAGTTTAGTGACCTTTTGTCTTTGCATGTCGGCCCGAAAATCGCTCATTTTCGTGATTTGGGTACACAACATATGGAAATGTCATTTTTTTTTTCCTAACAAGAGATAAAACATTGGTTATTGGGTCTTGTTTAAAGTTTAGGTGTTTGTTTTGGGAGTCAAAATAGTTAAATTGTAGTTAGAAATAATTTTAAAAATAAATAATAACATACATAAGTTGAAAAAACAATGAAATACATAAGAAAATATCGAAACAAGAGAAACAAAAGGAATAACCTAGCTCTTCCAAATTTGTTGTCGTATTGTTGTTTAATATGGTCTAACGAATACATTTAGTGAAAAAGGATGCTTAAAATAAAGAATATATGATTCATGGGAAAAAATATAAATGTTATGACCATATTTGCAAAAATTACCATAATATGCAAATGAGGGAACTGGTGGTGGTCATGTTTAACGGGTCTCTAAAGCAGAGTTTAAGGTAGATTTCGTCTTTAAACCTACATATGAAGTATAATCCTACAGCATACTTGTGTACCAGACATCGTGGTCATGTTTAACGGGTCTATACAGCTGAGTTTCAGGTAGATTTCATCTTTGAACCGACAGATTAAGACAGTATATTCCCTCTTTTTAATATGTTCGTGTCTGAGACATGGTGTTTATGGTACGAATCTTTAGAGCATGGTTTGTGGTAGATTGCGTACCACCACTTTGAGTACTTCTACATCATGCTCGTGTTTCAGACACCGCGGTCGAGAAACGGGTCTTTTGCGTAGGGCTTGAGGTAGATCTCGTCTTTGAACCACCACATATTGCGATGAAGGTATAGAGATATGGATTGATGGATGCGTTGATAGGCAAGATAAAGACAATGCTCCAGGCGTAGAGGGATACCGGGAGGGTGACAGCACCTGTTTGCGAAAGGATACCCATGATGATCACCGGCATCCAGCAAAAGAAATCCGTCAGGACAATGATAGACATGCGTGTTGCCAGCTTCACTTCCCGGGCGCGGTCACTGCTACCCGAACCGCTTGCCGGATTGGCCACACTGCGTGCCGACTTGCGAACGTGAACGAATATGACGACATAGGAGAGCAGAATGAGGATGAAAATCAAGAAATTCACACCGAGAAAGATGGCGATTGAGTACACCCAACTTGGTCTCTTTGTTGTTTCATATTTGAGGTATTCCCACACCCTTCTCTCGTAATTATATACTAATTCTCCAGTCTCTGTTGACTCGACATTGAGTGGTAGTCCAACACAAACATCTGACAGGCCGTAGAAACCGCTGATGTAGGAGCTAACAATCAAAGGAACAATGCTCACTACAACAGCAATGGTCCATATAAGCGCCACTCCAACGCGAGCAGAAGTAGCCCGAAACTTCAGTTTTCCAAAGGGGAACATGACGCTAAGGACTCGATCTATCGTAATGATCGCAAGTACGAATACGGACGTTTCGCTGGATAGAACAGCGATGAATCCTGCGACTTTGCAAGTGACCGATCCACGCCATTGCTCTGCGAAGAGGTAGAAATAATCTCCGTAGTACACATCTGCTGATGCTATTATAATCATGTAGATTCCCATCAGGAAATCTGCTATGGCCAGGTTGGAGATGAACAGTCCCTGAGTCTTTGCGCTGACTGAATGATCGGTACGACACCTAAAGACAAGAACTATGGTATTGCCGATGAGGGCGCCCCACCCTATGACCCAAAGGGTTACCCTTAAGATTGTGTTTGGCATAAGACGGGAGCAGGAGTCCAGGAAGTTCGAGGAAGCAATGCTGCACAGATCTGTCTCGTCGAACAAACAGCAAAGCCTGTAGTCATCAGTCGACCTGAAAGATGTACACAAATATTTGCAATAAACAATGTCTCCGATGGATTTGTTTGTTCGGGCGGTTATGTGCCAGAGCAAGGAGGAAACTTCTTATTTGTTAAAGGGCTGTATTTGATGGTGTACGTAAATAATCAAAGTTTCCGTCAACTTTGTTCAAAGTAGAGTGAGTCCAGCGTTACTGAAATTAAGAATAGCACAATAATTTACATCATGATTGTGATACTGGGAATTGTGGTCTGAGTAAGATTTCTTGGGGGGAAAAATGCAGAATCATTTATGCTAGGTTTACATTATGTTCCCAGCGGCAACGGCAATCACGTTTCAGGCTACCTTGGACAAAACGGGTTGGACGTGAGACAACGCGAGGGGATGGAATGGGCAAACGTGACAGGCCGTGATTGCCGATGATGCCGGGCAAGATTTTAAAATTGAATACAGGCCAAAGGGGGGGTGGGGTAAGGGGGTAGTGGTATGAATAATTGGGATTACGTCAGATACAGTTATACATGTAAATGTCATTATTGAAGAAGTCGTAACTTACAAGCCTTTGAGGGAGGTAATCCCTTGAAAGGTATCTGGTTCGAGATTTGCCAGTTGGACATTCACCAAGTTTCTATGGAGAGAGAGAGAGAGAGAAATAGAATAATGAACGACAATACAATTTTGTGAGACATTTTAGAGCGAGCGCTATTAACGCCTAACATTGGCGCTACAGACACTTAGTAATAAGGCGCTATACAAGAAGCAATCATTATGAACATCATCATCAGATTGATGCATATTTTGCACGATTGGCTACAAGCAAATTGTTTAGATTGTAGGACATTATGTGTACGAGTTCTATATAACTTATCAATGTTGTTATTGATATGCAGGGGTAAACTCTTAACATTAAAACTTTAGCTTGTCTTTCAGCTGCTCTATATTTATTCGATCATGCTATTACTTTATTAGACGAGTAAGTTTCCCTAGACTAGACAAATAAATACATTATGACAGGCATATTTTGGTCAATATCTATTTACGAGAATTTACATGGGGATGCGGTATATAAAACAGATACTGACTGCTTATTTTTCGGGCGGGTAAAACTAGAGCTCCTCGGTGACCTCAAGACTGCACTATGCCCCTCTACTGCGTCTAGGGTCACATCACATTTTCGAGATCACATTAGACAATAGTTTCAACCTTCCCCCATAAAGCAGTCAATGTATCCAACACATCCAATTAGTCAATATATATGTTTATATACCTCACTTAAGTAATCCAGCCATCTGATTGGTCGAAATTGCAGTCATAAACTTTAACTATTCCTGTAAAATTCCCGGTAAAATTCCAGTTACCATGGTTACCGGGAAAATAATTCAGTCTTGGTGAAATACCTATAGGTTCACATGTTAAAAACTGGTTTGAGCGATCGAGGATACCGTACTTGTGCAAAGAATTGGTCGGTAATTTAAAAACGGAAATCTCGATCGTACTAAATTCCAAACCGAAGGCAAAAATGGCTGAAGAAACTCTCCCAAGATTTCAACTTCTTGATGATGATCAAATGCAAGACTTGCTGACAGTAAGAGCACCAAAAAGGGTGCGTTAAATTCTCCATAATTTTTTTTCAAAATAGATCTAGTAGGCCTATAGATTCTAGTAAATAGGTCGAGTAGTGCTCAAATCCTTCCCGTAGAGATTGCACACATCCCTATGCATTGGCCATCGCGCATTCATGCTAAATTGGTCGATGTTATACCAGAGATTCAAACTAATATTTCTCGTGATTCTGAAGGTGATACTCAATAAGTGAGGTGTCATATGAAAGCGCAGGTTTTTCTCCATATTCCCCACAAGGCCGGCCCACCCCCAAAATTGAAAAAATATCTTGCTTAGACTAGAATCATAAGAATCTAGATCTAGTCTACTCTCAAAGATACACTCATAAAAAACAACCGTGCAGATAAACTAGAGAAAGGCCAAGGTGGTGTCATAAGTTGACTCTTTTTTTGGCATATAAAAGTATTAATGACTGCTTTAATATTCGAGAAATAGCTGTTTTTATACGCTTTCGGGGCTATTGCTCTCGGCACGCCTCTGGCAATAGCACAATTCTAACCTTCCCTTGAGCGTATAAAAACAACTATTTCTCTCAAAGCAGTCATTAATACTATAATAGTATTTCGAGCTAGCAGTGACTAGTTCACAAACTTACAAATATTCTAGCCGACTCAGATTCTGGAAAGTCCCCGGTTCGATGTATTCCAACGGGTTGTTAGTGAAATCCCTGAAGGAGAAAAGGTGCAAAACAGCCTGGATTAATTTATTATATAATCTCGCGTATTGCCACGTCACTACACTCAAACTTTGGGTGTTTTAATAAGCAATCAGATCATAATCATTATCATCATCATCATCATCCTCATCATCAACATCACCGTCATCATTACTTGGAATGTTACATTCTTTCCAAATCAGTGATAATTCACGCATTGCTATTTTTCTCCTGTCCCTCTTATATCCCAAGTGAAATATTGAAAAGATCTGCAGCTGTGGACATTACCCACAAAGTGTCCTGTCGAAAAAATAATTTAAATATTAATTATTTCATATTCTAGCATTGAATTCCTATGAAAAACATTAAAATAATTCGTGCTGGGGTGGGAAGAAATGAGGAAAAAAATATTGAATCAACTTACACGAAGGTAAGATTTGATTGATCATCAAACATTCCCTTCCTTAATTCTCTGATTGAATTATTTGACAGGTCACTGTGAAGGAACGAGAAAGATCAGAAAACATGCGGCAAATGATAATCAATCATTCGATAGATGTAATATAATGGAAATAACTTAAATTATTGATGAAAGAGAAAGGGTGACAATATTTCATTATTTGGTTTCATAAAAGCATTTAAAAGTACATCAATTAAGTCATACGGCGTACGGCGGTAATGTAACCTGTATTTATCATGTCATACCTCAGTCAAACCACCAAACCGACATCAGATCGACTCCAAACCGACCCATTATTGGTCATATATGTAAATGTAATATTTTTGTTCGCTCTTTTGTCGGTCTTGTCGGTATATGACTGAGGTATCAAGACGACTGCCCGAGGACAACTTTCCCGTCTGTCACTTACCTAGGAATAATTCAATTAGAGGTTACGTAGTTATCTGGGTATTTTGGTCTAGGGTGGTCTAAATATCTTCTTTTCCTGTAACTACTGCACAATGGTGGCTTAACAAAATATTTATCCCCTTTAAGTGTCGAATGAACATGAAATATACTTACATAAAATTCAGAGTATCAAGTCCTCTGAAAGCATCAATATCAATGTTGGAGATTTGGTTGTCGTGAACATGTCTGTGGAAAAAAGGATACGAAGATTACTGACAGCATTATTCTACATCGTTTTCAAATCTTTTCGGGGGTAGTTCAACTTTTTTTTTTAATGTTATTTTGCAAAATATTTCTTGTCAAAATTGTTAATAATAATAATAATAATAATACATAACATTTATTAAAGTCCATTTAGATTATTCAGTAATAAGTTAATAAATCATTACGAGAATTGATTTGGAATTAAAAATAAAATCATTATCAATTTTCTCTAGCTTCTTCTGGTTCAAGTTCAAGTTCATTTTATTTAATATTTTCATTAAAATATACAAAGGAAAACAAACATATAAAAGTTGAAATATAATACATGTATCAATATATAACATGAGAATAACACAAGTGGAGAAGACATGAGGAACAAGGGGAAAACATTATTTTACATGTACATTAATGGCAGTATTTGGAGACTAGACAGGAAGGCCGGGCTTTATGTAGAAGTCTTTCTTAAGTAATTGCATACGAAACTAAGTACATTATTTAGATTTTTTATTTTTATTTTTTATTTTTAAAAGGAAGAAAAGGGAAATAATTTGCATTCACACATACCCTCTTTCCCATACACACCAACACACAATTTTCTATCTGATGAACATTAAAGACCAAGTCCACTCCAAAAATAACTCACTTTCAATAGAAGCAGAAAAATCAGACTAACCATTCAAAAAAAAGTCTGAGCAAAATCGGATAACTAATAAGAAAGTTTGAAAAGCACTAGACAAATTGACAACTCACTCATGAGACGGGGACGTCATGTCCTCACTATCCACTAGATTATTTTCTTTCTAATGATGATATAAATTTCCAATTTTCTCCTTAAGAATCTTATTTCTTCACACCAGCATCCAAGTTAGATTGATAGTAATATGTTTATGTGTGGATACACTAAAATAAAGAGTAATTTTTCCAGTTAACCATGAAAAATGTGAATTTTGATAAACTATTTACATAAAAATCAATAACTATGAATATACAATATTCAGAAAATAGTATAAATTCTTCAAAGCTCATAACATTTTTTGTGAAATGTCATGCACGCAATATGATACAAATCATATAATCTGGGCAAAGGCATGGGGAAATCAAGTTTTGGGAATAAAAAGGGAAATTAATGGGATTAAACCATATAGAGCAATTGATAAATAGTGAGGGCATGACGTCCCCTGACGTCACAAACTTATTACCATCTTTGCAATTTGTGTTGTGATTCTCATTGTTCCATAGTTGTACATACTTTTTCAAAAAATCATTACTTTCATATTAGTTGTCCGATTTTGTTCAAACTTTTTTTGAATGGTTTGTTTGATTTTTCTGCTTTTATTGAAAGTAAGTTATTTTTGAGTGGACTTGTCCTTTAAGAATATAGGTTATTACACTAGTATTGTCTTAATAAGTACAGTTTAAATTTTCTTTTAAAACTATTTCGTGATGGGCTCAGTCTAATATCTATTGGTAAGTCATTCCAAATTTTGGGACCCCTGAAGAAAGTTGTATTTTGGGAAACTAGTGTCCTTACCCCTGGAATATGACGATTAGACCTATTTCAATACCTGGTCTGCATGGTGGCCATGAATATTCTCATTAAGTTGAAAATATTGTAAAATAGTATTTGGTGAAGGTTTTTTAAAGCATAAATACATAAAGATTGCACATTGATAAACATAAATATCGTTTACTCTTAAAATATTTAGGTTGTTAAAAAAAGGTATAGTCAGTATTAGTATTTGCCCTAGTTTATTGGTCATTTTGGTCGAATAGTTTATATTTGATTTGATTTTGATTTGATTTTCTTCTGCATTCATGTACGCATACAATTTTTTGATAACGATAATAATATGAAGTACAATAAGTATTTTTCTGACAATGAATCATCAATAAGAAAATAATTATATATAAATTGTTATTTTCAAAAACAAAATGATAAACTGTCATAAATACTCAATTTCCTCAAACATTATAAAACATTATACAATTATTTGCGGAAGAAGGACTGTCATTGTAAGCAGATTGCTTGATAATACGACAGCCCCAGACAAAACTCATGAAATATAAGCAGAAACGGATAGGTAATTGAAAATACAAATTTCGATGATGGTGATGCAGATGAGGATGATGATGATGATGATGAAGATGATGATGATGATGAAGATGAAAATGATGATGATGATGATAATGATGATGATGATGACGATGGTGGTAATGATTCGAATGAAAGAAGAGATGACATGATAAAGAATGAAGAGTTGACACAGAAATTCTACCTTGAGTATTCTGATGATAACATCGTTTTAACTTTGGCCTTAAATGAGTAGAGGGAGCAACATGATTTAATAGATTCTGGGAGAGAGTTCTATAGATCAGGACCATGGGGTCTTATGGATCTATGGGCAATAAGTAATTTCGGGCTTACTAGATGAAAATTTGAGGAATTACGGGTAGGTTAAGAGTGAATAGCTTTATTCATAGTGTAAGTTTTGAAATGAAAGAGGGAGCATATTATTTAAATAATTATGGACTAAATGCTCGGATAGGAGACAAAAAGTCCACAAGATTAAAGGTTCATAAGGCCAGGCGCCCATGATTATGGACGTCAATGAAACCTAAGGCCCAATAGATCAAAAACCCATAACTCTATAGGCCCAATATACCAAATTACTCCCATGAGACCCAAGGCCCTCGTGACAGAAGGTGCAATAAATGAAATCTCAAGGGGACCCCATTCCCACAAAACTAAATTCATACGAGACCGGTGCCCATGGGATGCATAGAACATGACACCAATAGCCCTTGAGGTCAAAGATTCGTGAGCCTGTTGGCCTATGACTCTGAAGTCCTGAGACCAAAATTTACTCTCCACTTTTTTTCGGTCTCGGCGACCTTCCACTCTCCAAACAGTAGAAGGTATGTGCGATCGAGATATAGCTGAAAAAGATTATAGCTTTGCTGGGTGTAGTCATACTTACAGGTGCGTGATACTCTCAAGTCCTCTAAATGCTCCAGACGGCAGTGAAGTGATGCTATTTCTATACAGCACCCTGTGTTATGACAAGAAGTTACATGCAAATAAAAGTGGTGTACAAGAAGCAGAATAATCTGCAGAAGAAGGGCTATATATCACAATAACCGCTTGCTTGATAGCGTGAAAGCCCGGGGTGAAGAGGGTGGATGATACGTTGCTTTAGAACTTAAAATTGAGTTGTCCCTTTGTTAAAGATTTTCATAGACTAAGCCTGGTGTTTAACTGAATTAGTAGAATAAGGACCAAATAGTCGATGATTGAACCAGGCCTAAATGGATCCTGGTTTTGAGAAAATGCCACTTCTGAGCTGGCACTTGTACAAATGACCCCTGGATATCTACAGATAGTTTACACATGGAGACATCTTACTTTGTGTATTTAAGAATGATCCGGACCAGAGGGATTGAGATTCTTCTTGAATACATGTTGTTTGCCTTCTTGAAAATATTACCTACACCTGTGTAGCATAGAATGTACCGCCGGGCATTAAATGAATAATGATTACGAAACTTTCATGAAAACGTGTCCATCAGTCGTCCCGATGGGTTTTATAGTTTACGACTTTTATCTGCACATGTCATGGGCAGTATTTCCTATGTGGCTTATACCCGCCTAAAAGCTTGTACAAAATACAGTGATAGTAGTATCTTGCTTACAAATTTTGAAGGGCCTCCAATCCTTGAAAGCATCCTGGTTCCAGTTCTTTGATTCCCGTGTAACCAAGATCTCTAAAATTTAAAAAGAATCAAAACAGACAATTAAAAACATAAAGGTAAATTAAAAACCGCAAGAGATTTTTTTCAATAACGAAATAAAAAGTCCATTTTAAAAATAACAAAGAAATAGGCCTATGACCCCAAAAACAAAAACAAAACTAATTGTAAATAGCCTTACAAGGAGATGAAAAGATAATAGCTCACAAAGAATATTATGCACAGTCTGTCATGTCAAATACCATATTAAATGTACACATACAGCGTGTCCAGACACAACAAAAATATCCCGAAACTCTATAAAGAAACGTCATATAAAGACCCATCGTATGAGAAACAGGGCGTCCACACACAAGAACATATTATCCCGAAACTGTACAGGGAAACGTCGTAGAGGTGCGCAGTTTGCTACTGCGCCGCGCCGCGGCCATAAAACGGAAACGGAAATGAGAGCTCATGTATCTTCTTTCGCGTGCGGTCACGTTAAGCCCGCCCAGTTATACCGCTCTAGTTCGACCAACGTCCACACACAAAACATTCCGTGATTTTTATCGAGTTCTAGTTCGAAACGATGCCCAGAACCGTGTTTCGTTATACGACGTATCGTTAGTAAGCGACTAAGCGTATATACACACACACAATTTCATTGTATGGCTATCCCGAAATGGTATAGCCATACCATTTCGTTATAGCTATACGATGAATTTTTCATATGGCTCCGTTTAGTCTCATTTCACAACGCCCCCTATCGTCAGAGCATGGTCAGATTCAGCAGCCTAACATGTTAGCCTATGGACGTTTTTTTTAAAAATCGTTAAAAATTCATTTTTTGTTTAAACGAAAAGCACATCCACCCCGACGTACGTTATCACTAGCTCTTTCATTGGAGCCCTCATGTCTCATTGACTTTTGAAAGTTCACCCACCGTAATTTTTCAAAATAGGTTGCAAGCTCGTCATTGCCTATAATACACATGTGAAACAAGTCCAACTTTGGACTCAGTTTACCAAGCGATTTGGAGATTATAGGTCGAGCACACGAAACGTAAAAAGCATGAATTATCATAGATCACTTCTGCCTATTTCGTTTTGTCCATTTCATCCAACCCCCCACCGTAATTTTTCCATTTAGTAAAAGCAAACATTTTGCTGAGTTTAGCAAAAACATGAATATTCATGAACGGTCAGACAATACAGCCTTTTAGTACGTAACGTATAGTGAATGGGAATGTGCGATGATCCGTGTAGGAGGTAGAGGTCAGTGGTTTGTGCTGGCAATGTTCACGCGAGCGAAAATGAGACAATCGGAGCAATATGTTGTGTGTGGACACGGGGATACAGCATTTATTGTACATAATGTATCAATAACAAAAACAAGGAACTTCAGCGTAATAGACATAGTGACGAAACGTAAGTGAAGAAGTGTATTAAAAGGCACAGCTAATATTTCATTGACGTCTGAAAATATTTCGTTACGATTACTCTAGATAACTAAATAATATTAGGGGGAATGCTCTTATGTACGTCTATGTTGGTAACAAACACGAATATACCGGTGGTTTTTTTTTTTTACCCGACATGGGTAAAACTTGACCAAACTCTCTTAAAGGGAGTTTAATGTGACGAGACTACGTGTCTTTCCCGTGGCCCGTGGCCTGACTCGGGGCCAATCGAGTATACTAGGGAGTTCTCGCACGTCTATGGTTCTCGCAAGCGCTCAACGCGGACGGAGAATCTGCGGTTCGTGTGCCAAATCGAGAAGCTACCATAGTAACAGTGATCGCTGAGGTACTGAAATCCAGAACGGGTTTTTGGCCAAATCTACGGACTCTCTCAATGACGCCCCAAGTGATTCAACAGCCAATCAACGAGCTTTAACCAACGGTGGTATGGAAATTCCATCGTTTTATTACATGCGATGATCACATCAGGGGGTGGAAAAGAAGGATGACGAATTTCAACGCGGACGGCTCTTTGGTGTGTTCTTTTTACGATAATTGTTTCTTAACAATAACAACATGAAT